ACAGAAGAAGCGAGTGTAAGTTTTTTTTAAACGAATCTTTGCAAATCGCCTTTCCTAATAATGTGCTAATTAGCAAGTTTCACGATGAATGCGGCTAAAGTAAACAGTCTCTCTGGCTCGGAAGAGAGGGGTGGGGTCAGCAGAGCTCATTAACGTTTAAATGAAAATGCTACAAAACTGCTTGCTCTGAAAAGAGCTGTTTTTGACAGGGTAAAAAAAAGTGTTTTTACATTACCATTGAGAAATTCTAGCCAAACTATGTTACAGACTTTTCATTAAGACCCTAAAGAATCATATCAACTTGTGGAAAATGGGCATCCTATGACCCCTTTGAAAGTGACAGACTATTATGTGAATGTATTGTTCAAATAAATGGTGTTCTTTTGAACTTTCTATTCAGCAAGGAGTCCTGAAAAACAATATATCATGGTTTCTACAAAAATATTAAGCAGCAAAACTGTTTTCAATTGATAACAATAATAATAGAAATATTGGGTAATAATATAAATGTTTCTTGAGCTCCAAATCACCATATTAGAATGACTTCTGAAGGAACATGTAACACTGAAAACTGGAGTAATGATGCTGAAAATTCAGCTTTGTCATCACAGGGATAAATTACATTAAAATGTATTCAAATAGAAATTTTGAATTGTAACGCTATTTCACAGTATCACTGCTTTTACATTTGATTAAAATAAAGTGATCATTAGTGAGCATAAAAGACTTCTTTTGAAAACCATACCGACCCCAAACTTTTTGAACAGTAGTGTATCTAGATATTATATGAATAATGGTGATTAATATTACCCTATAATAGACAGAAATAGTTCCTGCTCTTACCTCTTTCCACTCCCGGCCTTCTTCAGGCCTGCTTTTCAGAAGTTGGAGGACTGTTTTGAGGCATTAGCTCTGAATCAGGAGTTGAATATCCCTCTGCCTGCTGAACTGGATGATCTTCGGCAGAAGTTTTTGAGGACTTATGGACCCAGTGAAATTGCCTCTGAAAACCAGGAAAACAACATCAACTAATCCAACAGAAGCACAGGCTGAGATATGGGCTGGAATCAATTTTTATTTTTTTTTGGATGAGTTTACAGAACTGAATCAGAGCATTTACCTGGGATTTGTTTGCATACTGGGAACATGCTGATGCTGGTGTTCTTTGGCGAGATCTGTCATGACACTCAGAACATTCTAGAACTGCAAAGCATTCTTGGCAGAGTTCTGTTGAAGGAACAAGTACATTTCAGTGACCTTGAGCTTCTTTCTGAGATTTTATTTCCTTCTGTCTAATTTGGATGGTTTAGTTATGATTTAACCATGTAGCACAAACCTTTAAGAGTGCCTACCACTAGGTGAGTTATATATTTCCCTAGTGAAGTTTCAAATATCAGATTTATGAAAATTCGTTGTATAGCATCTATTACACTGATTAGTTAGTATTTTTCGATCACAACAAAAGTGTTTGTCATTAAACCTTTCAAGAACATTTCTGGGTCATATTTCACCCCACAACAAAAAGCTGTAAAGCATTTGAGACCATTAAGATTAGATTTTTAAAGGAACACTCCACTATTTTTGAAAATAGGCTCATTTTCCAACTCCTCTAGAGTTAAACAGTTGAGTTTTACCGTTTTCAAATCCATTCAGCCGATCTCCAGGTCTGGCGGTAGCACTTTTAGCTTAGCTTAGCATAGATCATTGAATCTGATTAGACCATTAGCATCTCGCTCAAAAATGACCAAAGAGTTTCTATATTTTTCCTATTTAAAACTTGACTCTTCTGATGGAAAATGAAAAGCTGTGATTTTCTAGGCCGATATGGCTAGGAACTATACTCTCAGTCCAGTGTAATAATCAAAGATCTTTGCTGCCGTACCATGGGTGCAGCAGGCACAATGATAGTACGCAGTGCCTGAAAATAGTCCCAGCTAGGTAACTTCCAATAAGCCTATTTTCAGGTGCTGTGTAATATCATTGCACCCATGGTCGGTCTTCGTACACGATGTAACTACAGAAGAGTCAAGTTTTAAATAGGAAAAATATAGAAACTCTTTGGTAATTTTTGAGCGAGATGCTAACGGTCTAATCAGATTCAATGATCTATGCTAAGCTAAGCTAAAGGTGCTACCGCCAGACCCGGAGATCGGCTGAATGGATTCGAAAATGGTAAAACTCAACTGTTTAACTCTATGGGAGTTGGAAAATGAGCGTATTTTCAAAAATAGTGGAGTGTTTCTTTAAGATAGTTATGCACATCCCCTCCCAGATTCTCAGTAATGATATTTAAAGTTGTATTGTTTATGCTAATTTAAATAATATAAACATCTTTGAGAAGATTGAGAATTAAAAAAAGATCAAATTTAAATAAAAAAGAATGAATTTAGGGGGAATGTGCTTAACTGTCATGGAAATGTAAAAGCGAAATGTATTTTTAAAAATAGGGTTAAATGTGACCTGGATATGTTTTCAGGTGATGAACCTCTTATTTCAAATTATAAAAAATATGGAAGGTTCTATTGACTTACCATATTGAAGCTATGTAAATCAAGCATTGTTAAACCACACTTCCCCCTGCAGGTAGTTGTGCTTAAGTGCACTCAATCCCTTGACTCTTTCTGTACCACTAGCACTTGAGGTCCTGACCTCTGTAACTTTATAATCCAAAGACAGAGAGTGATAAAACTCTTATGAAAGGAAGTAATAACATTTTGGAGTTCAGATTTGGTTTCCTATGTGTGGTTTCTTGGAAATGCATCTTGCATGGTAGTTTATTCCTGGTACATCAGCTATTTGAAAACTGGAGTTTATTCCGCTGTCATGGACTCACCTTGTAAATATAACATGACAGAGCAAGGATCATTTTTCTTTGTATCTAAACCTGCTTTGGAGTTGTATTCTCCAAATGAAATAA